AAAGGAACTATAAAGGTAGAGAGGGTATGATGGATTTAAAGATTGATATCTCAAAAGCTTACGACCGAGTTCATTAGATTTTTTTGAAATCCATGATGTTGCAGCTACGCTTTGTAGGGATTAGGTTGATTTAATCATGTTGTGTATTTCCATGGCTACGTATTCAGTTATATTCAAGGATAAGGAAATTGGGCCGATTATTCCTTAACGAGGTTTATGTTAGGGAGATCCCCTCTCCCCATATTTATTTATTATTTGTGTCGAGGATTGTTGATTTTACTACAGAAAGCAGAAGAGCGTGAGAAATTACATGGATGTAAGGTTACTAGAGCATCTCCCAGTTTTTCACATTTATTCTTTGTTAGTGACAGTTTCTTGTTTCTTAAAGCCTGTGTTGCAAAGAGCACTAAGATCAAGCAAATCCTTTATGTGTATGAGACTGCATCAGGATAGCCTATTAATTTTAAAAATTCTAGGATTTTTTTTAGCACAAATGTAGACCTTGAAACTAGAGCTAGCATTTGTTTGACTATTGGGGTGCAAAGTTCACTTAATCATAGCAAGTACCTGGGATTACCTTCATTGGTGCGAAAAAAGAAGAAGACTATTTTTACTTTTCTTCATGATTGGATGTGGCATTGTATCCAAGGGTGGAAAAATAAATATTTGTCCAAAGCGGGAGAAGAAGACTTGCTTAAAGCCATAGCGTAAGCAATTCCAACATATTGTATGAGGGTTTTCCTTTTGCCCAAAACCATGTTTGATGAGTTACAGAAGCTTCTTAATGTTTTTGGGTGGGGGTCTAGGACTATAGATAGACAGGCTATCCACTGGCTATGTTAGGATCGATTGTGTGTTCTAAATGGGTTTCGTCCTTTTCACAGTTTTAATTTGGCATTTCTTGGCAAACAGGGTTGGCGTCTTCTCACTAACCCAAGTTCTCTTTTAGCTCAAATCTACAAAGCTAAATATTACCCTGAGGGGGATTACATATGAGCCACCTTACAGTCTAATCCCAGTTTTATATGAAGGAGCATTATGCTTGCTAAAGACTTGTTGGTAAAGGGTGTAAGATGGCACGTTGGTGATGGAAGAAAAATTTCAATGTGGAACAATCCTTGGTTGCCTACGGGCGCATCATTTTTTTATTAATTCCCCAATCTTAGAAGGCTTTGAGGGCCTTGTTGTTGTGGACCCGTTGAATGAGGAACAAAAGGAATGAGACTATCACTTCATTTGTGGGCTGTTTGTTCCAGAATAGGCAGCAAGAATCTTGCAAATCCCAATTAGCCTACGATTGAGGGAGGATATATTGGTTTGGCATTGATCTTGAAAAGGGAATTATGAGGTAAAAAGTGCTTATAAGATTGCTTCTCAAGCCCCTTTATAACATTTTTTCCTGTAGAATCAGTTATTATGGAGAAGGATATGGTCACTACATGTGCCACCTAAGGTGAAATAGTTCATTTGGTGGGTGTGTCGAGACCTGTTGCCTAGTAGGGCTTGCCTGAACACTAGGGGAATTCATGTTAATAAAGCTTGCGAGAGTTATAACGTTTCTGAGGACATGTTGCATGCCTTATTCACTTGTTTCAAAGTGGCTAGGTGTCATTCGGAGATGCAGGTTCCTACGACAGATGCGTCGGGTGGTGATTTTATCAATTGGTTCTCATTGCTACTGCAAATGGGTACCCAACATCAAGCTGAGGAGGTGACAATCTTACTATTGTATGTTTGGTTTTATAGGAATTTGATGATTTGGCATAATGTGCAGGTTTCTCCTGGTTTTACTTGTTCTCAAGCTCGTAAATTTTTAAGAGATTAGTGTACTACGAGAGCTAGTGTTTCTAATGTCAATCTGATTCCAGCAAGTAGGTTAAGTGTTGTTTGGGTCCCTCCAAGGGTTGGTATACTCAAATGTAATATTGATGCTGCTATTTATAATGGAGCTGAGGGGGCTAGGTTTGGTGCTGTTGTACGTGATGCTCAGTGTCAGTTTGTTATTGAGATTATAGGATTACTGATGGTAATAAATGAGCTAAGATTTATGTAAAATTCTTTCATGGCTAAAGGGTCAGAACTTTGGAAATGTTTTGGTTGAAGTAGACGCTCAAGAAGTTGCGATTGCTATGAACACTAGCACATAGGACTTCTTTGAGTTTGTTTGGTGATTAAAGACTATAGGTCCTTATTATCTCTGACTAATATAATCTCCTTAGCTTGGGTCAGTTGACTAGCAAATAGGGTCGTGCATGAGTTACCTCGAGTGGCTCGTTTTTAAGCTAGTTTTAGAGTATGGGGGAGTTTACCCTATAAAATTTATGCTATTCTTGTAACTGGCATTTTTGTAACTTAATGTTAATCTTCTTTTTACAAAAAAATTCATTCATCTATATATATACCTTTGAATAAAACTTATCATATTTAAATTGGCCCATTAGATTAATAATACAGGTCTAATTTGTCTTGTTTTCTTTTAAAAAGAAAATAAATGGATATTTTTAAAAGTAAACAATATAAAGTTAAATTAATGTCATATTAAAAGTCTAACATATCAACGTCTTCTTTGTTACTCCATGCAGGGGTGCTTTCTATTTTTTTTTCCCTCGCTGCTGCTCTCTCTCTTTCTAAATGCAAAGGCAATCTTTAGGAATTAGGCTAATAGGCTCACTAATTTAAAAGCTTCACAATCATGGACGAATAATGAAAGACATACCACTATCTCAATTTTTCAAGTTTATTTCAAGAATTAGTATCATAAAATCAAAAAAAAAATTGAGTTATAGTCTTGCAGCTTGCTTGCATCTTCCTCTAGAATGAAGAGAAGCTAAAAAAAAGGAGAGTCAAATCTCTAATGGTCTCTTTTGGTTCATCAATTAAAATTGATCCTAGTTTACCATTTCTATTGTTTTTAACTATTTCACTAAGTTCACCAATGATTTCACTTATTCTGATAATTTGTGATTTTAGGTTTGACTGAACACATTTTGAGTAGTTGGAGTGTTATACTCGTATGAGTTTACGATTCAATTCGCATTTTTGACAACCATGGTTTTAAGCATAATACCATATTTTATCATACAGTTAGCTTTCTAGGCCCTAATTGTAACCTGTTATATAAATTCAAGGTTCTTAAGCCTATCATATAAATCCTGCTATAATGCACTCAAACTCATATCATCTTAACATTTGCTCAACATCCTGAATACGATTCTGTCATCCTCTACCACATATTCATCACCTCACAAAGTAATTGTATGATTAATCGTCTAACAATTATGGAACTCTAACTAATTGTAAAATAGATTGGAAATTGATGAAACTACTTAATGAAGAAGTCACAATGGAAGAAAGAAGAACTGAACTTCACTTGGCAACTTCATCTGAATCTGGATAAAATAAATTTGATCGAAAGGAATAAATAGTTTAACAGAGTCAAAATATTAAGAATAAATCAATATAATTGTTAAAAAAGAAACAAAATAGTAATTAAAATCGAACATTCATTTACGAGTTAGTAGCATTTATCCCTAAAAGAAAATTTTTTAAGTAAACAAAGTAGTTTCTGGATCATTTTGATCTAAATCAAAAGTGAAGAAAATTGGTTTTAGAAAATGACTTGTCACTATTATCTTTGTTAATATTTGATAGCTTCCAAAGGTGATTATGAATTTCAAATTCATAAATTTATCTCTATCTCTTATCAACTAACACCAACCAACACATTTTTAATATGTTTTTGCATTATAAAGTGGTATAAGATTAGCCTATATTAAATGCAAGAGTATTATTTGAATTATGTTAAAATCCAGTGTTATTAGGTCCTAAACAAGAAATTTGAGTGTTCAAAAAGAGAGAAAGAAGAGAAAATGAACATAGAAGTGAGAAAAATTATAGGATTGAAGAGGGAGATGAAAGAAAAAAAAAATTAAATTAAAAATATTATTCATCAAATCTGATCATTCTCTTTTACAAATTAACTTTTGTACAGTTCAATACGTGACTACAACATCATTTCATAATTGCCATATGAGCAAAGTCTTAATAATAATTGAATGATAATTGCAGTTAAAACTATTCTAAACTAAATATTTACAATCATATCCAAATGATATAATCAAGCCCCTATTCACTAATTTTATATGCAATCATATTCTAAAAAGTTACTAATAGTTGGCTTTGATTAACAAGTGTTGAATTGATATTTATATTCAAGTGGCGCATAAACTTATCTCATTAGGAGCAAGTGTGTTATAATTAATTAACTATTTGCAATTGAGTAATAATAATAATTCTTAGTTAGTTTCGAATAAGTATAAGCCCCTAAAAAATCTACTAAAAATCTCAACCATATCATATCCCCCAAATATCTCTAGCCTCCCTCAAATCATTACATTATCCTAACAATTAGCAAAAATAAGGAACAGTTATCTCTATTAAGTCTATAATTACCAAAAAACAGAGAAAAAGAGGGATTCAAGATTCATTGACACTTTCCTTCTTTAATTCTCTCAAAAGAGTTTATAAACATAATCTCATTTTCTAAGTTTATCAAATGGAACAATGAGCGTGGAACACACCTTCAGGTAGAAAAATTTTGGACAAGTTTGAAAGGGATTGGTTCCAATTCCATCTTTCCTCATAGAGCTTATGCGTATATTGACAATATTGGTAAGTTGACTAATCTAAAAATTTTGGGCCTACAAGAACCGCCATTAACACTGGTTGCGAGTTAAGTAAATATTTAGCTTTTGCTTTTTACCATTAACTGCCTGTTGATGTTTTAAATCAGTTAGCCAAAATTGTCTAGAAAAGATAATGAGTATCTGCATTGGAAAAGAAAAAGGCAATTTTAAGTTTTTTTTTCCTGTCGTTTTCTATGCTAATCAAGAAGAATATAAAATTTGATTTTTAAGATTAATATAAAAGGATGCAGGATTTTGATAGTTATGACAAATTCTAATGGTTCTTTACATGATATTTGGAGCAAATTCCTACCTACTCATTATTCGGAGGTGAATCATAAAACACTAAAAGTTGTGGTATCTTATGGACCTAACATAGGTCATATCCCTCACGACATAAGATTGAAAGATTTAAACCTTCCTCTTTGAAGCAGAAACGGACGTGGCCAAAACATATAAAGATCGGCGTAGTCGCTCATAGGGACATATCCATCCGGATAGAGGATAGTCTAGATCGATTCATAGATAGATTTCTATCCATATAGATAGGTATCTCCTCCCTCGACATAAGATTGAAAGATTTAAACCTTCCTCTTTGAAGCAGAAACGAGACGTGGCCAAAACAATATAAAGATCGGCAGTAGTCGCCTCTATAGGGACATATCCATCCGATAAGGAATAGATCTAGATCGATTTCATAGATTCCGGATAGAGGATAGTCTAGATCGATTCATAGATAGATTTCTATCCATATAGATAGGTATCTCCGTGGATAGAGATAAAGATAGGGATCCATCTAGGTCACTATTTCAATTTTTTTTCTTAATTCTGATTGATTGCTTGTTTTTTGACGACAAGTTTTAAATCTTAATTCAGCAGGCATGGTGAAATAAATTTCAATTATTACTTGCTGGGTCGGAGGGTAGATGAGCGAGCAGAGCCCAAGAAACAGGGAAGCCCATCATAGAGCAGTAGAAGACTGATGGCCTAAGAGAAAGCGGCCTCTCTCGGGAAACATGGCAAAAATTTTCTTCTTTCTTTTTGATTTCGGGTTTCTTTATTTTTTCATGGGCCCAGAATGCTAAAGGGGAGAAGCAAACCGAACCTCTAATCGACCTGGACACATAAAAAATTCTCGGCATCGAGAGAGATTTGAGATTCCGTAAGTAACTCAGTGAGTGCTTTCTAAGAAGGGACAAAGAAAATGAAATACGAACTGGCAACTGATAACGCAGCCGATCTTGCAACCCTTCTCTTGTTTGCTTCTGCTACTGATTATGTTTCGGTTGAAGACTCTTCGGCTGTGGTGTGGAAATTGCCACTAAACTAAGCTCTCTTTCTTCCTCCAGGCAGGAATCTTCCCCGCCTAAACTCTTTTTCGAGAGATGCCGCCTCAACCCATACTCTCAGAAGCTTTCTTTCTTTGAGATGCCTTCGGGAATGTAAGGTTTGATATTCTCTTTTGTAAGTAAAGCAGTGAGAGAAAGACAAAAGTGCTGCTAACCTTGTATTGCCTATGGGGGAATGGAAAGTATAGGTACGAGCTTGCTTCCTTCTTTAAAGCCACGATTTTAAGTGGAGAAAGGGTAAACTTTTTTATCTTTCCAATCACATTACAGAACAAAAGTGAAGGTAATTATTGATAACTATTTTCACAGGAACATACCCGGCTTTGGCTATCTGCGATGTGATAGTTCCCTACAATGGGGTGAGAAATGAAAGTAAAAAAAGCTTACGACAAGTTTTTTTTTACAAGAAAAAGAAGGGCACTTACAAGAAAAAGAAGGGCACTTGATTATATGCTTAGAAAAAAGACGTGGAGAACCATACCATACTACACTACCTAGCTTAATAACTAAAAAAAAAGGAAAACTCCATAGAAAGCAACTCCATCTGGCTAAACCATGGATAAAGGGCCTTAGCCTAATATTCTTTTCAATTGGATAAGTTTACCACTCGCTTAAAATAGATCAATTAAAAAAGGGGAAGACTCGGGAAATCAAGGCTTTACATCCAATGCCAAGATCTTGGTTGAATTGAATCATTCTAAGAGCTTGCCAGTAGTATGCTTTAGAGCTAGAGTAGTATGCTTTTTTAGAGCTAGTTAATTAGACCTCCTTTTCTTACTTCTCCTGCTAGCGCTAGCCATCTCCTTGCCCAAATTTCGATCTTAGGATAAAGGGGTACCATATCATATGTGTAACGAGAACGGACATGACACAGCAAGTTGCTAGTATAACTAGTTCGCAGATGTTGACACTAGGTTCGAATCAAGGTTTGGAGGTGAAAGACGTTAATGCTAAACCTATTCCCCCGCAGAGTGAGGCTCCCTTCAGGGGAAGCAAAGCGAGAAGGGGGATGCTGAAGGCAGGGCTAGTGACTGGAGTGAAGTCATAACAAGGTAGTCGTACTGGAAGGTGCGGCTGGATCACCTCCGGATCTACGCTCCTTTTCAGGGAGAGGTAATGCTTTGTTTCGGGTATTTTGGTTTGATTTTGGTTTGACACTGCTTCACACCCAAAAAGAAGGGAGCTACGTATGAGTTAAACTTGTCGACGGAAGTCTTCTTTCTCGACGGAGAAGTAAGATGAAGCTCATGAGCTTATTATCCTAAGTCAAAACAAGTGGATAGGATCCCCTTTTTACGTCCCCATGTCCCTCCCACGTGGCGACATGGGGGCGAAAAAAGGAAAGAGAGGGATGGGGTTTCTCTCGCTTTTGGCATAGCGGGCCCCGGAGGGAGGCCCGTACAACGGGCTATCAGCTCAGTGGTAGAGCGTGCCCCTGATAATATAATTAACGTCGTTGTTGCTTGGGCTGTGAGGGCCTCTCAGCCACATGGGATAATTCAATGTGCTCATCAGCGCCTGACCCTGAGATATGGGATCATCAAGGCACATTAGCATCGCGTACTTCTTCTTGTTTCCGAACCGGGGTTTGAAACCAAAAGCTTCTCCTCAGGAGGATAGATGGGGCAATTCAGGTAAGATCCAATGTAGATCCAACTTTCTATTCACTTCGTGGGATTCCAGGGGGGACCACCCGGCTCCTCTCTTTCTTCTCGAGATCCAGTACATCCTTATCAATGTAATGGACCAAGCTATCTCTCGAGCAAGGTTTAGGTTCGGACCTCAATGGGAAATATAAAATGAAGCACCTAACAACGTATCTTCAACAGACCAAGAACTAACGAGAGCACCCCTTTCCATTCTGGGGCAACGGTCGGGATCATACCATCGAGCCTTTTTTTTTCAATGCTTTTCCTGGAGGTCCTGGAGAAAGCTGCAATCAATAGGCATTTTCCTGGACAACATGTACTTCAATTATTTATGAATATAGATCAATAAACCAAAACCGGGAAGCAGAACCGGATCATTGAGAAGGCTCATGTTCACCTAAGGAACCTTAACCCTTTTAGCGACGATTAGATAGGATATTCATGCATCGATGGAATTATATAATCAGTAAGATAATTGAGTGGTGACCGACAAACTTACGTGCTTCTTTTGGCACCGATGCTTTCATTTAAGGGCATTATAGTCTGCCGCTCCTTCTATCTGTGTCTCTCTCTTTTGTCTCTTAAAGGCTGTCATGGATTGGTTGCCCCAAACCTCTTCCTCTCACATTCTGAAAAAGCGTCTTCAATCCTCTCCCCTTTTTGTTTTTCTATCCTTATTAAAAAAAGGTTCTGGTAAGTCTCCAGTTATGAAGTATGGCAGCGAAGGTAAGCAGTGGTTTTGCGATTGATCCATTTCAGTAGTTGGAAAGCAGCCCTGGTAGTTAATTCATCCAGTTTTTCTCATTAAGCCGTATTTAGAGATAATGAGATCCAAATCTAGCTTTTTGAAATGTACCTTGCTACTCTATAACTGGTTTTTCCGTTGCTGGGCGTAGGCCTGTTAATTATTATCACCCCGAGCCCGCCATTGCCGCATGGCATACGCATTGTCAGCATTTGGGGAAAAAGGTTTCTTTTCTTACCACGTATAAGTAAAGTATCACGTGCCATTAAGTTCTTAGAAAAGCGATGTTCTGTCATTCCCAATTAATCGAATGCCTTGTTCGTCTTGTGATGGCCCAGTTGGATTTTTTCCAGAAATGGAAGTGGAAGGCAATTGCTTAACTCTAAGGTAGTGTAGATAAGCTAATGTAATATTTTGTGGTGTAGAGAGCGTCTGCACTGTTTTGGTCTTCGCTTGTGTTATTCCATATATGTTCCGACATATACTGACATCATACTCTTTGTTGCCGAATTTCATTAAAAATTCATTATAAGTAAATTTCCATATATTGGGTTAATTACATAATTTAACTTTAATATGTTATCTTTTTATTGTCTTATACTTATTACGAACTCATCTACCGCTATTTTAAGTAGGTTTATAACCTTGTTAAGTTTATATCTCATTTGGAAGTTCTTTTTTAGTTTTGGTAGAGTTTCACAGAATAAAATGCGAACAAATTCTCATCTTAAAATCAACTATATTATATATATAATATATATAATATATATATATATATATATATATATATTATATAATATATATTATATATACCACTCCCGAATAAGTGGAATGGGTATTTTTTATCCAAGGTCATACTATTACTTTAGCTGTGGTACAATTCAATGTTATAATTCATTATATATACACTCCCGAATAAGTGAATGTATTTTTATCCAAGGTCATATATACTTTAAGCTGTGTACAATTCAATGTTATAATTCATTTTGGAATTTTCTTTTCTTTATTTATCTTCTATGGAATTGTTGGGAATCTTTTAGGATAAACTTTGAAACTGATTCTTAGAATTATATCTTCACCATTTTCTTTTTTAGCGCATGATTACTACATGCTAGAAAAATTTTGATGAGAGCTAAAAACTAGCTAAAGGAGAGATAATTAGAATGGTAAGTCCGAGAATTGAATTATTTGTTATTTCATTTTCCGTAAGTGGATATATATCTCATTAGTTATTTTTTATTTGCTTGCTTGATTTATTAAAATAAAAAAATAAAAACAAACAACGATGCGTTTATTTCACACAGCTTATAAAAAAAAAACATAAATTATAAACTTGATGTGACTTTGGCTATAACGTACACAGATTTACATATAATTAATTTGCAGTTTTCAAGTATATAAATTAAGAGAATTATAATTTGATATGAGAAAGAAAAACGTGTGGTGGCACCTTGAGCGTCTACCATTAAGTATAACATGCATAAGATAATTAATTATTACTTTTATATACTTAGATCAGTATAAGTGGAGGAATCAGTAATCGTTCCATGATATGTGATATTATACCTGGCAAGTTATTGAATTTTTATGATTACTTCATCATATTTGTATTTTTAGTTTATTAACCCTCTCTTTAGTATCGATATATTTACCTTTATAAAATTAATTATACTTTGCCAAATTTTGATATTTGATTATCTATAAAAATTTTTTACAATGAAAATAATTATACATTTCCCATCTGTTTATTTGAATCATATAACTACATATTTAATAGTCAAGTATCAGGTGTCAAAGAAAAAGGACAAATAAGTTTAATTATTCCAAGTATCATTGAAAATTTGATACTGATTGAAAATTATTCTTTTTCTTTTTATCCTTTTATTTTCTTATATGTAATGCTGCATATTTCTTTTATTTGTAAAAATTTATATATTTAAGAGTAATGACTACAATAGGGTTTATAATATTTATGAAATCTCTCTCTTGGTTTTAGATGTCTTATTACTTGCTTTTTCATAGTTAGCCTTAATGTTGATCCTTATATGCTAACAAATTTTCTTCAAATCCATATATATATTTTACCTTTTGATCTTTTGGTAAAAGATCATTATAGAAGCAAGTTTTAAATTCTTAGTGTAATTAATTAATTTTCTATATTAATAAATCAAATTTTTTTGTCAACATTTATATATGGTATCTAAATCAACAAAATATAAAATTATTTTATTTTCTAATAAAATCAAGTAAAATTATTATATATTACATCAACTCTCTTTGGACACTTTGCGCAACCACATATTTCATAGTTGCATAATTGCTACTTTTTTTTGTACTAATGAATTCTTATAAATAATATCTTGTGTGAGATATAGTTTTATATGATGCAAATAACGTATCTGCTATAAAAATAATAATAGGAAAGCAAAGAATGAAACATGAGAACTATTTTT